GTTGGGGTTTGCTCGGATGATCGGGCTCAGTGGGTGGGCGGAGAGGCAGCAGGAGGCAGAAATGGTCAGATCCAGGGAAGGAGGCAGGGTGTGGCTGGTTCAGCTGTGCTCCTGTTGACCTTTGGCTTGGGGGGACACCTCTCCTCCCCTGTTATTGTCAGTCTGCCTTCGGGGATGTTGGGCGGGGCCCTGAATGTCAGATGAGGTACCAGCCTGTTCTGGCTATCTGCCCTCTGTACTGACTGGCACCTGACCCAGTGCCCCAGTCCAGCTGAGCTTATGCAGCTGATGACCCACTGACTTCTGCTGAAGTTCAAGGCTGGCACAGGTGCCTGGGCCTGCCAAGGCAAAAGACTCAGTTAGGGATAGTGTAGTCTGGGATGGTGCATTCAGCAGGAAGGAGCGCTGTGCTCGGGTCAAGTTCTGGGTTCTGGGTCTAGCCTGTCATGAGCATGTGTTGAACTCGGTCGAGCCACAAACCATCTCTTTGTCTACAAAACAGGAAGGTTGGGCCACATGACCTCTATGGTATTGCCAACTTCAGTCTTTTGGTCAGTGGTTCTCAAACTTTGGTGTGCATCAGAATCACCAGGAGGGCTGGTTAAAACCGGGTGGCCTGGCCTCACTCCCAAAGCTTCAGGTTCATGGGCCTAGGGTGAGGCCTGAGATTCTGCATTTTCAACAAGTCCCAGATGATGCTGATGCTACTGGTCTAGGGGCCACACTTGGAGAATTACTGCTCTAGCAACCCGGGGTGCACATTAGAATTACTTAGGGGAGCTTTAAACCATGTGATGATGAAACCCAACCCCAGAGCAATTAAATCAGCATCTCTGAGTGGGGAGCCTGGGTTCTGATATCTTTTAAAAGCTCCTCTAGGTGATTCTAATGTGCCGCCAGCATTAGGAACTGCTGTTCTAGAAAAGCAGCCTGATGTGCCTTTTTTCCTGTTGGAATAATTTCTCTTGGACCCCAGCTCAGCCTCTCATTAGCTGCCTGGTTGTGAATAGTCCCTGAACCTCAGTTTCCCCTTCTGTAGGTGGGGCTGTTAGGAGGACTAAATGAAACTCTGCCTCACTGTGTCTGTCCGCCTTTCCCCGTGTCCAAGGAGAGCTCGTACGTTTCTTCTGCTCTGAGACTGTTTGGCTGAACACAATTCAATAAGCATTTATTAAAAACTTACAATGTGTGAGATGCTGCTCTTAATGATGTGGGAATACAAGGATGAATCAGGCTTGGCCCCCACTCAAAAGAGCTCACATGCTAATGGGGGTGACGAGGCATGCGTCCAAAATATGAGGAAGGATGTAACACCGGCTATTGAGGAAATAATCATGGTGAAGGCTACTATGTGTGAAGCACTTCACAGTTTATTTTAATCCTCCCAACAACTCCATGAGGCAGCTACTATTGTAATACCCACTTTTGTTTTTTTGAGATGGAGTCTCGCTCTGTCGCCCAGGCTGGAGTGCAGTGGCACGATCTCCACTCACTGCAAGCTCCGACCCCTGGGTTCATGCCATTCTCCTGCCTCAGCCTCCCATGTAGCTGGGACTACAGGCGCCCGCCACTGCGCCTGGCTAATATTTTGTATTTTTAGTAGAGACGGGGTTTCACTGTGTTAGCCAGGATGGTCTCGATCTCCTGACCTCGTAACCCGCCCGTCTCGGCCTCCCAAAGTGCTGGGATTTCAGGCGTGAGCCACTGCGCCCGGCCGTAACACCCACTTTTACAGGCCAAGAAACTGAGGCTTAAAGAGAGGACCAGTTACCCACAGCACGAGAGCCAGGCTTTGGTGCTGTGGGAACCCAGAGGAGGAGATTCACACCGTTAGAAAGGCTGGGGGTAAGTTTTGTGGGGAGAGGTGTGTGGACACAGTGCTTTGAAGAATGTGTAGGAGTTTGATGTGTAAATATAGAGAAAAGGGTAGCCCTGATAAGAAACCAGCATACACAAGCCCAGAGGAGGGAAAGCCTGGCTTCTTGAGAGACCTGGAAGTGATCTGATTTTGCTGGAATGTAGGTTGGGTGCAGGGCATGGTGGGAATCACGTCCTGGTCGGAGGCCTTGTATGCGAGGATAAGGAATTTAGATTTTTAGGTTTTATGTCTTTTTTTTTTTTTTTTTTTTGAGACAGAGTCTTGCCCTGTTGCCCAGGCTGGAGCACAGTGACACAATCTCAGCTCACTGCAACCTCTACCTCCTGGGTACAATCAATTCTCATGTCCCAGCCTCCCGTGTAGCTGGAATTACAGGTGCACAACACCACACCTGGGTAATTTTTATATTTTTAGTATAAAATTATTATATTTTATATTTTTAGTAATAGGGTTTTGCCAACATAGGCCAGGCTTGTCTCAAACTATTGGCCTCAAGTGATTCTCCCATATTGGCCTCCCGAAGTGCTGGGATTATAGGCATGAGCCACCATACCTGGCCCAAGATTTTATATCTTAAGCAATGGGGAGCCCTTGAAAATTCTTGAACAGGAGGTGGCAGTTTTAGAACAGGGTTAAAATGGTCACAGGCTATATGGGAGAGAGAGGGTGACAGGGAGCCCAGGGAAGGAAGGGAGAGCTATGGCAAAGGATCTGATGGGGGATGGTGAGGCAAGTGGGCTGTGGGGAGCAGGGAAGGGGAAAATAGGCACATGTGGGAAGTGCGCTGTTGCCACGCAAAGCTTCCTTGGGCATCAGTTGATCTCTTATGTGTACTTATTGACTGAGCCATACCATACTGGGAGTGGGGGAGGGCAGGAGCAGAACACAGAGGCTGGGGCAAGTGGACCTCCCAGGCTTCTCACTCCACATGCAGCTCCCCTCGCAACAGTGATATGGTCAGTGGGGTATGACCCATTCTGTTTTACAACTCTGCAGAATCTGGGAGCAATGGGTTCCTGGGCTGCCTGCCACATTTCCGTGATGGGGGTGGCAGAGCTGGCCCAGCGACCTGAGTCCTCCTGACCCCAGCCTTCCAGATGAAGCATGCCACCCTGCTCACCTCCCACTGCCAAGTTCACTGCCAGCTCAAGGCTCACAGTCTCTGTGTGTCATGCCCAGCACAAACCCTCCTAGACTGAAGCCAGTTCCCAGAGGCAAAGTCTGGATGTGGAAAATGCACCGGGCTGCGATCCTGCCACTTGCCACCAGGTGACCTTGGGCACATCCCCTTAGCCCTTCTGTGGCCTAAATTGGGGCATTAAACACAATCAGGTAGTACAGGTACTGCACCCTCCACCTCCACCTGCCCCATCCTCTCTGGTTAACTTTCCTGGAGAATCTCAAGATGTCACAGAGACAAGCAAAGCAAGTCACTTTCCATATTCAAAGTCCCAGGCCATTTTAGTACTTCTGTCATTCTGCGGACCCATCAATATTATACCCATTTTGGAGATGGCACAACCAGGACCCAGAGACTTTTCATGACTGGCCCAAGGTCAGACATCTAGGTAGTTACTGAGACAGGACTTGAATGCCAATCTTTCAGCCAATGGAGCTGGCCCCTCAGGTGCCCTCCCAGACCCCTGCTGCCTTTCATGAGATAGGGAGGCCAGGTCTGGGGTGGGGGTGAGGCTGGCAGACATCCCTGAGGTCCAGGGGTCTGGAACTGAGGGACACAGACACAGCATCGCATTCCTTTGCTGTATCACACAATGAGAACATTCTCTTTTAAGCCTCCTGATACGTGAAGGAGAAAGTCTCTGTTAGGTGCTAATGGGTATTTAACACCTCTCCAAATCTTGCCAATCTCCCTTTTTCACTGAGGGCACATCTCAAGCCTTGGCAGACCACAGTTTCCAGCTAGAATTTAATAACCTTGCTTTGTTTTCACTGTGCTTATTTTAACTCTTACTTTCTATTTATGGCAAGTGATACTGGTTTCCCATTTAAGGCAGTGATATAATGATTCTCTTAAAAATGTGTTTAAGGGGTGGGGAAAGTGGATCTGGTATTTTAAAAAATATATTAAGTAATAAGTGGTGTGGAGATATGGCCCAGTGAGAAGGTCCGATGTCTGGCCTAGGTCAAGCCCCTCATTTAAAGGTGGGAAGGGAGAATGCAGACAGGAGAGGCAATGCTCAAGGCACCTGGTGTGTCCCCGGGCCGTGCTCTCTGCGACTCGCATGCCTCGAAGACCTCTGGCCACTAAGCCAAGGTGACTCCCCGCCCCCCTGGGCGACACGTGCATGGCCCATGTGCCAGTCCGCAGGGTCCCGTGGGCACTGTGACCTCGGGAGGGAGGCGGCGGCTGGGACAGACAGGTTGGACACCTGGGAGGGCACCCGGGGACTTCTGCGAAGGAGGAGGGCACTGGAGCCGTGGCGCCCTCGGCTTGGCCGGGCGCAAGCCGCTGGGGACCCCGGCCGAGTGGGCAGGCGGCCAGACTCCATGCGGGTCACCTGCGGCCGGGCAGGGCGTGCGTGTGAGCGCGTGCGCAGACGTCAGCCTCCGAGGCCCGTGCTGGCTTCTGGGCAAGGTGCGCGCGCCCAGCGGCCCCGGCCCCACGCGCCGGGACACGCGGAACCGCAGACTGCGGCGCCCCTGAGGCTGCGAACGGGGTGGGCGGGGCCGGGCCGCGGGACCCGCCTCCCATTGGCCGGGCGCCGGGGCGGGGCGGGGCGCCGGGGTGGGGCGGGGCGAGCCGGCTCTGGAGGGCAGACGCTGGCGCTGGGCTGCGGGAGGCGCTGCTCGCTGGGGGCCGAAGGAGCAGGTGGGCGACGCTTGCAGGGGCGCGGGAGGGCGCCGCTGGTACCGCCATCAGGAGCCTGAGGTTCTGCCACCTTTCGGAGGGATCAGCGACCTCTTCACCCTGCGGGTGACAGTGGGGCATCTGCCTGCGAGAGGGGGAAGGAGGGAGAACCCAGGGCCACACACAAAGTTCTACTCTTCTGGGGACAGGAGGAGGTGAAGGAGGAGGAGGAGCTGGGTTGGTGCTAACTTGGAGCTGCGAAACCTTGGGGCGGCGTTCAAGGCCCCCTCCCACACGCGCGCAGAGCAGAGCAGAGCGCCCTGCTCCTCCTTCAGCTGCTGGCGTCGCCGCGCGGGGAGAAAGAAGCCGTCGCTCCGGCGCGGGGAGAGCTGCACAGCCGCGGGCAGAGGAGGAGGCCGCGGCCGAGCCCCGCAGCCCGATACCCCCAATCCAAGCGACCTCCTTTGGAGCAGGCGGAGAAGGTGGCATAGGCGACCGGGAGGTTTCGCCCACCCGGGACACGCACCCACAGTCACCTCCAAAGATCCCCCTCCCTGAGTTTCTAGAGGCTGCTCCTTCATCACCGGAGTCGCCCCTACCTCTCCGCCCCCAACCCCAGAGCAGCAGGCGGGGACCCCCGGATCGGACGTCCCCAAGCCTCCGGGCACCTGGCTCAGCAGGAGGCTCCCGGCTCGGGGCAGGGCAGGGCCGGCGGCGGCGAGCCGGAGCCCGCCCCCTGCCCGGGCCCCGCCGAGCCCTCGGAGCCCACCCATGGGGCACCTGCCCCTTGCGCCTCCTTGCCCGGCCGCGCCCAGCCCGGCGTCCCGAGCCGCGCAGGGGAGGATCCCCGCGCAGTGACCCGGGAGCCACCACAGAGTCTGGGAGGCTCGGCGGCTGGAGCAGCAGGCGGCTCCCCGCAGCTCTCGGCGCTTCCAGGCAGCTCTCCCAGCCGTGCCAGAGGCCGGGCCCGCCATTCCCAGGTAGGAGACACTCCAGTAGAGCTGGGGATCTGGGGGAAGTGGAGCAGCCGGGAAGAAAGGGTAGAGGCTTGGAGGAGGAAAGCTCAGTGATTCCTTAGATGACCAGAGAAAGTGAAATTGATTGAACACCTACTATGTGCCGGGATCGTCTGGCAACTTTACATACCTGGAGAAAATTAAATTCGTTGAGCACCTACTATATGTGTCAAACTGGGTGCTATACCCTTTACTTATCCCAGGAAAGAAAGATTTATTAAGCTTCTACTATGTTCTAGTTTTGGTGCCAGAGGCTTTCAATTTAAAGAGCTAGAGTAATAGCCCATTTAAATAGGAGGAAACTGGGGCTCAGGGAAGACAGTCAACTTCCCCAAACACTCCTGTCCTTCTGGAGCTGGCTGCAGCCTGCATACCTGGAGGTGGGGAAGGAAGATTAAGAAGTGCCTTCCTTATCCAGAGTTCTTGAGCTTTTTCTGGGTTGGTGCTGAGTGAGTTTCCTGAATGATCCCCTTCCCAGGAGGGTTTTCCTGTAACTTAGCTGTCTTAGGGGGCCCAGAAGGCAGCTCTGGAGGCTTCTCTGGGCCCTCCCCTCCCCTTGTCCCCTGCACTGGGAGGATGACAGGGGATGTTGTCCAAGACCTCGTGGAAGGTGGGAAGCCAGGCTGGGAGGGAGCAGCCAGGTCAGGAGCTGGTGACTCAGGCCTCCCGTGGTGTCAGAGACAAGATGGGTTCCCTGCAAGACCTGCGCCTGCATTCCAGTCCAGCCTCACTGGGCAGCCCCACGGCTGCCAAGATAAAGTGCCATGAAGAAGAGAACCCAGCAAGTGTTCAGGTTTGCTGTGGCCCAGGAGCTGGGTCAGCCTCCAGACTAATTGGAAGCCCACGGCCACCCAGGGAGTTTGTTTCTTACCATTAACAGAGGAATAACCTGAGCCCCAGGGAGCCAAGTCATTTGCCCAGGGCTGCCAGGCTGGTGAGAGGCAGAGCTGGCCTGCCGGAAGCGGATGCCTGCCTACCTTCTGCCACCTGAGCTGCCCAGGGTGGTGGGGTTGGCTTTGCCAAGCCCCTGGACTCTCAGAGTGGCAGCTGGAGGCCAGTGACGGCAATGTGCGTGTCCAGAGAGGCTGAGTGTGCGCTGATGGAGGAGGCATGGGGGGTGGAGGAGGGGCAGTGCAGTGAAACAGGCTCAGGGGCATACACCGGGAGAACACATCCAGACTCTTGTCCCACTGCCTGTGCCTGTGTGACTCTTTCATCTTCCAGGCAGGCCCTGGGGGAGAGGCTTAAGGGAGAAGAAGTGTTGAATCCACAGGTGCACTTGCTCGGAGGTGGCTGGCAGGGTTGGGAGAGAATCCTGGGAGGTGCCTGCCCCCTTTCCGCTCCGCTGCCTGCTGGGAGAGAGGGAGTGAGAATATAATATGTCTCAGGGGTCATCCCCCAGCGTGACGCCAGCTGAGGCTTCACTGAGACAGACAGTGTTTTGGAAAAGACCAATTTTGGCCAGGAGTGGGTTTTCATAGAGTTAAGAGCCCAGACTTTGGAGCCAAACAACCTGGTTCTGATCCCAGCCCAGCTAGTCATCTGCTGTGTCAACTGGGGCAAGTGACTTAACCTCTCTGAGCGTCAATGTCCCCATCAGTTAAGTGGGCTGATGGATGCCTTCCTGGCTGTGATTACTGTGCCCCCAAGATGGCACCCCCTCATCTCTGCTCCGGGAACGTTCTGGCTTCCACCTGTCCTCAGAATGGCCCTGTGGCGGGGCCAGTAGTCACAGTATGTGCATTCGGATACCTGTGTTGTTAGGGGGTCTCTGTTGAATTTCCTGCCTCTCGGCGCCTCGTCTCTCTGATTCCCTACTTCCCCTCTCTGATTCCCTGCCTCCTCTCTCTGACTTCCTGAAATCCATTCAGTCATTGATATTGGACTCCAAATTCCCAAAGGGCCCTTCGAACTCATCCCTGTCTGCTCCTCGCTGTGTGAGGTCAGCCTGGCTGAGGATGGAGAAGGGAGAACAGGCTGCAGAGGAAAGACATGCCCACAAGGGTGCCCATGGTGCCACCTCTGGGGGAGGAGAGGGAAGATGTGGAGGCAGGAGGCAGAGCCCACAGAGGCACTGTCACCTGGCGTCCAGGTGTCCAGATGTCTCACACAGCCCCACATGGCTCAGGCCATGTGAAGAATCAGTCTTCTCTCAGAGATAAAAACCACAGAGGATTTTTTTTCTCCTTTTTTGCCCTCCCTGATTCCCTGTCTCTTATTTCTGACTCCTTGCTTCCTCTATCTGTCACCTTGCCTCCTCTCTCTGACCCTTTGCCTCCTCTCTGACACCTGGCCTCCTCTTTCTGACTCCCTGCCTCCTCTCTCTGTCTCCCTCCCTCCTCTGTCTGACTCCCTGCTTCCCCTCTTTGTCTCACTGCCTCCTCTTTCTGACTCTGCCTCCTCTGTCTGACTCCCTGCCTCCCCTCTCTGTCTCCGTGCTTCCCCTCTCTGACTCCCTGCCTCCCCTCTCTGTCTCCCTGCCTCCTCTCTCTGACTCCCTGCCTCCTCTTTCTGATTCCCTGCCTATTTGACCCTCTGCCTCCTCTCTTTGACTCCTTGCCTCCTCTCTCTGATTCCTTGCCTCTTTGACTCCCTGCCTCCTCTCTATGACTCCCTGCCTCCTCTCTTTGACTCCCTGCCTCCTCTCTTTGACTCCCTGCCTCCTCTCTCTGATTCTCTGCCTCTTTGACTCCTGCCTCCTCTCTCTGACTCCCTGAAGCTCATTAAGTCATTGCTATCAGCTCGTCTGTACCAAGCTCTGGGCGGGAGGCTGGGCAGGGCAGTGATGGAGACAAATACTATCCCTGGGAGCTTCTGGCCCCTTTCCCGTCCTGTCTAGACAGAAGTGACCACCAGCAGAGTCAAGCTGTCTACAGAGGGACTTGGGGAGGGGGCTTGTGAGGGGGGTAGGGCTTCTTTTCCCCCCATCTCTGCTGAAGGCCCAGGCTGGCTGAGACAGCCTGGCAGAAACTGAGAAGGGCTCCTGCTGTGGTCTGGCAGCCCTCTCTCCACCCTCCTCTCGCTTACTTCCTGCCTCTCACACGTATGCCCTGGGCACTTCATCAGGGCTGCCCTAGGGGAGGGCCCTCCTTAGCACGGCCCCTGGGCCAGTCAGGTGGTTGAGGCTGAGGAAAGAAGGTCCCAGAGGGGGGCTTCAGGCAAACCCAAAGACAGAGTCATTTACCATTTGATGAATGCACAGACCGTTTATTGAGCCCCTGCTGTGTACATGGCATGGCAGTTTTGTGGGATAAATTCAAAGACAGCTGTAGGCAGGAGCTAGGTGGGGGCGTGGGGGTCTTAGGCTTGAACTACTGCCCAGGCTCCCTTATTAACCAAGTAGGCTAGTCACAGAGCCTTCTGAGCTCGGAGCAGACCACCTGGGATCAAACCTCTCCTCTGCTGGTTACTGGCTGTGCAACTGTAAGCAAGTAATTTAACCTCTCTGTGCCTCAGTTGCCTCATCTGTAAATTGGAGAATAACACCACCTGTTTTCTGGGGTTACTGAAGGGAGAAATAGGTTAACATGTGTGCAGCACTTAGAACACTCTGGCATATTTTAGCTCCAAAATAAATGCCAGCTATGATTATTTCTATACTTAGTGCGGGGCTTGGCACACTGCATGGGCTCAAGTGGCAGCAGTTGCCGTCCTTGTGGCTCCAGGCCTGGGGTCCACCATGTGCTGAGCTGGCTTATTGTGTGCGTCCCTTTGTGATTCATTCATCGAAGTCACATTAGTAGCTTAGAATTGACCGTGGTGGGAGCATTTACGCCATGGAAATTGGCAAATACCACCAATCAGGACTTATAACAAAGGTATTTTTTGAGAGGCAGTTTCCTGCACAGAGGCTGGTAGTTGGGCAGGGTGAGCAGATCCAGATGTGTGCCAGGGACTCACATGCAGGCAACGTCTCCACCTCGAGTGGCCATCTCAGACCTTAGCATCATGATAGCCAGGAAGCGATGGTGTTGGAAAGCACCTTGGGTCAATGGACGAGGCACTCAAGGAAACCGACTTGGGGCATCCTGGGGTGGGGACCAAGTATGGGCACATACTGCTTTTTGTGTGAATTTAAAAACAATGTGTCTTCCTCTACACAAGATGCCCCTTCCTCTGGGATGCAGCCCCCACCTCTGGGATGCAGCCCCCACTTGCCCACACAGCCATGTGCCTTGTGCAGTGGCCAACCTGCACAACCTGTGGCAGCCTGCGGAGGACCGAGGGGATTGACATTTCAGCAGGCCTGTGCCCATCTGCAGTTCAGGAGCTGAAAAGAGAGGAGGGATTCCTGCTAGGGTGGGGACATCAGAGAGGCCTTCAGAGAGGAGGTGGCACTTGAGCCAGATCCTGAAACTTAAAGGGAGGAGGGTGTTCTGTAGATGGGTGGCATGAGCAAAGGAGTGGAGGCTGATTTCAGCAGAGCTCAAACTAACTAGGGTGACTGGGGTCAGGGGTTCTGGGGTGGGGATTCTGGTGGGCACTGAGGTAGGAAAGGAAGGAGGGCTAGGCTGTAAAGAGCCTTTGGGATGAGCCTGGTGGAGCCTGTGGGTTTGCTTATACAAGAGCTTGGATCCATGTCGGCCTCTTTCATGAGGTCAAGAGGCTCCCATAGAAAGCTCTGGGTTTGCCCCAGAACCATTAACCTTTGGAGTTGGGCGGGAAACTTGAGCCAGTCCACATCCTCTACTGCGGGCCCCTGGGTCTCCTGGAGGCAAGTAAACACCTAGGGCCTGGGAAGCAAAACTATCCGGGCAGGCCATGGAGCGGAGGGAGCCCGCCAGATGCAGAGCACAGGTCTAAAGGTGGGTGGCTGCAGGAGCAACCTCAGGCATCCAGCTTGGAGCATGTGGTGTGGACATAGCCTTCCCTTCTTCCCAGGACTGAATGACCACAGAACCCCCTCCTGCCTCAGGCTCAAGAAATGCATGCTAGTGCCTTCCCCGTGTCTTATCCTAGACTCACAGGCTCCTGGAAAGCCAGATGGATGAACCAGGGGAAGAACGGATTCTCACGATAGATACCATTTTTGAGATTTCACCACGTGCTGAGCCTTTTGCAACAACTCTATGACTTGGGCTCATTTTGTAGATGAGAAAAGTGACTTCTAGAGAGGTTAAGCTACTTGCCCAAGGTCAGTAGCTAGAGGCAAGGCAAGCATTCAAATCCCAGGAATCCGGTGCTTGCATAAACAAAAGGATGAATGAACGGACAGTAAGTGAGTGAGTGGATGAAGGAAGGAGTAAAGGAGAGGGCATGAATGAATGAGAGGGTAGAACTCCAAGGCCCCTTAGAACCTCGTCTGAGGTTCCCATTGACCTAGACAGAGGCCCTAGAGAGGAGGCCAAGGCCTCTAACAAGAGGTGGCAGGGCCAGGTCGAGGGTCCCCTGACGTCTGCTTCTCTCGCTTTGTCACAGCCCCGAGCCATGATGAAGACTTTGTCCAGCGGGAACTGCACGCTCAGTGTGCCCGCCAAGAACTCATACCGTATGGTGGTGCTGGGCGCCTCTCGGGTGGGCAAGAGCTCCATTGTGTCTCGCTTTCTCAATGGGCGCTTCGAGGACCAGTACACACCCACCATCGAGGACTTCCACCGCAAGGTGTACAACATCCGCGGCGACATGTACCAGCTGGACATCCTGGATACCTCCGGCAACCACCCCTTCCCCGCCATGCGCAGACTCTCCATCCTCACAGGTGAGGCCCACCGGTGCTTGGGCTGGGGTGGCAGGGCCGGGGCATGAGTGTGGAGTGTGCTGGGCATTTGGCAGTTTGCATAGTACTTGCATAGCCATCATCTGAGACAGGCGTCATCCCTGCACAGTGAGGCTCAGAGAGATTTTGCCACTTGCTAGAACTAGTGATGGAGTCGGGGGCCCCGATTCCATTCTGTTAGACTCCGGATCGATTACTCATGGCTGTCGGGGCCGCCTTCCAGATCAGGAGCTGATACCAGCGTGCCCCAGGGATATTCCTTTCTAGCAAACAGAATGATGCCCTGGCTGCTGTTTTCCTCCTCTAGGAGATGACCCACCAGAGCTCCGGGGCCCACAGTCAGTCCACGGGGCTCAGGTCTCCCACACCCCAGGCCTTTGCCACCTCCTAGAGAGGTAAGGGCAGGATCCTGGCAGTGGTCACCAAAGGGAAGGGGGCTTGGTCATAGTAATAGTGACGGTGATGGCAGTAGCTGACACTTATCAGAAGCTATGGGCCTGACCCTGTTCTTAGAGCTTGGCATGTAGTGTATTTTATTTTATTTTTTTTTGAGACGGAGTCTCGGTCTGTCACCCAGGCTGGAGTAGAGTGGCGCGATCTTAGCTCACTTTAACCTCCGCCTCCCGGGTTCAAGCGATTCTCCTGCCTCAGCCCCCCAAGTAGCTGGGACTACAGGCACGTGCCACCACTCCCGGCTAATTTTTTGTCTTTTTAGTAGAGATGGGGTTTCACCATGTTAGCCAGGATGGTCTTGATCTCCCGACCTCGTGATCTGCCCACCTCAGCCTCCCAAAGTACTGGGATTACAGGCATGAGCCCCCTCATCCGGCATGTAGTTATTTAACCCTCACAAATAGTTATTCATTCCCTTTTTACAAGTGGGGAAACTGAAGCCTAGAGAGATTAAGTAACTCACTCCAATGGCAGCACAGTTTGAAAAGGGAGTCTGCTCTTGTGCTTTCAGACAAAGCCACACCGCACACCGCAGCCTCTCAGCCCTGCTGGGAGCGGTGAGGAGGGACAGGGAGGTTGCGGGGGGGGGGGGGGGGGGGGGGGGGGGGGGGCAGGGGTGAGGGGGAAGAAAGGGTGAGTGGAGCTGAGGGGCTGTGCCCTCGTTTACACTGCATTAGCATGGTAACTAAGAGGACAAGCCCGGGACCCAGCACCTGGGTCTGAGTCCTGGTTCTGCTGCTTCCTGGCTTTGTACCTTGAGGCAAGGGATTTTATCTCTTTGTGTCTCAGCATTCTCATGTAAAGTTGCATCGCATCAACACTCATCCTAAAGGCACTGTGAGAATTAAATGAATTAATATACATAAGGCGCTTGGTGAGCAGATAGTAAGTGCACAGTAAATCCCTGAGTCTTCTGTTGAGTCAGCATTTGTAGTGGGTCTACTCCCAGCTACACGATCATTTCCCAAGTCACTCCCCTCAAGTTGCTGAGCAGGGATAAGCGAAGGAGTGAGCAGGCAACTCTCTAGGCATCATTAAGATAACCCCTCAACTGAGATACTTCTATATGGAGAAACCCATGCCATGCCCAGCCCTGCTGCCGCCTGGAGGCCAAGACTGAGGCTGCGGGCTGGCCCCTCCTTGAGTTCTTTCTCTTCCAGGCTGGCTTTTCGGAGCATCTGACCCAGACAGCAGTCAAGCTCCCGCTCCACCCCGAGTTTTGGAGAAGGGGCATGTGGATAGGAGAGCCCTGGGTCGACCTGTGTTGGAATCCTCTCTGGGCCTCTTGGCTTAAATGTGTGAACAGAGGCACATGCATCCCGTCTGAGTCTGAGCCTCCCCAGCCACACAGTGGGCTTCACCTCATGCCCTGCAGGGAGGCTGTGAGGACTGCAAGAAAGCTTGTAGCAGGAGCTTCCAGCACGTGATGGGTATTGCATTGGTGTCAGCCCTCTCAGCCTCGGGGAGGGGACTGGGTACCCACTGCTATGAATAAGGCTAATGACAGAGGGAAAGAGAAGGGAGATGTAGAGAGGAAGCACGTGCATATTTTCAGCATGAATTTTCAGTGACACAAGTAATACACAAACACACCCTCCTGCAAACGCTACAGATAAAGCTAATGCCCCTTTGACCCATGTCCCCAATCCCAGGCTCCTGCCCCTGCCCCGGAGGTGGCCACCCTGGCAGTCTGGCATGGTGCCTTTCGGGCCTCCGTGACTACATTGGCATTCGTATTTGTATTCCCACAATGGAGAGTATTTTTGTCTGTCTCTTTTTTACAGCGCATATCATTCTGAGTACATCTGTCTGTTGCTTGTTTTTTTCACACACCAACCCGTGCCTCATTTTCCAACCTGGTGGAACCTCATTTTTTCAACCTCATTTTCCTGCTGCTCAGGAAATTCTGAAAGCCATTAATTCCACCACCAGCTCTTCTTCCAGCTGCCAGACACGCATCGCTGAGGCTTGGCATCGCAGTCTCGCATTTGAATATGTCAAGGCCACGAGTCCTTAGGGGCCCCGGATTAGCCTAATGGGATGGGGTTTGGCAGCCCAAGAAGGAAGAGTTGCCAAGCTGACGCTGCCTTGCAAGTGCCTTTCAGAAGAGCCCACACTGCAGTTTCTTCCATCACCTCCCATCCCTTCAGCCTGCCTCGGTGAACACTGTGTGCCAGGCCATGGGGAGACCAGGATGAGTGGGTGATGGAACCCTCCTCTGTGCCTGAGCTCACTGTTTGGAGCACACCTTTGGCCTGGACACCATTCTGAATGTGCCATGTGCCATGAAGTGGGAGCAAATGATGTGCTCTGGGGGTGCAGAGGAAGGTGGCAGCCGTTCCGCCAGAAGCTGGAGCTGCTTGCTTCTCTTCTCGAGAACTTGGGCCAGTTGCTGATTCCTCTGGGCCTCAGTTTCCTCATCTGTGAGACAGGGATCTTGTCACACCACAAGGCTATCAAGAGTTTGAGCAAAAGTGGTTGGATGCAGTGGCTCACGCCTGTAATTCCAGCACGTTGGGAGGCCGAGGTGGGTAGATCTCTTGAGGTCAGAAGTTCGAGACCAGCCTGGCTAACACAGTGAAACCCTGTCTCTACTAAAAATACAAAAATTAGCCAGGTGTGGTCTCAAAATTACAGGGCACCTGTAATCCCAGTTACTCAGGAGGCTGAGGCAGGAGAATCGCTTGAACCCAGGAGGCGGAGGTTGCAGTGAGCTGAGATCACGCCATTGCACTCCAGCCTGGGCAACAAGAGGGAAACTCTGTCTCAAAAAAAAAAAAAAAAAAAAAAAAAGCCAGACGTGGTGACAGGCGCCTGAAATCCCAGCTGCTCCGGAGGCTGAGGCAGGAGAATCACTTAAATCCAGGAGGTGGAAGTTGCAGTGAGCCAAGATCACACCACTGCACTCCAGCCTGGGCCTCAGAGCAAGACTTCATCCCAAAAAAAAAAAAAAAAAGGAAAGAAAAAAAGGAGTTTAAGCAAAAGTGAGGAAGGTACTTGTTAAGAGCTGGAAATCGGGATGGAGGCACCAGTCCAGACAGCCTCCTCACCGCCCCACCGTCTCCACAGCAGCCCCTGTTTCAGATTCACAACCCTGCCTGGAGTGATGTGGTGAGTTATCCTGGAGGCAGTGTGGGCCTTGGAGGCCAGCGCTCACTTTTTCATCCCATGATTTATTTGAGAAGCAGAGAGTATCTACCGGGTGCCGGGCACTAGCTAGGTGAGGACAGAATCAGGTAGAAATCTCAGCCTAGGCCGGGCGCGGTGGCTCAAGCCTGTAATCCCAGCACTTTGGGAGGCCGAGATGGGCGGATCACAAGGTCAGGAGATCGAGACCATCCTGGCTAACACGGTGAAACCCCGTCTCTACTAAAAAAATACAAAAAACTAGCCGGGCGAGGTGGCGGGCGCCTGTAGTCCCAGCCACTCGGGAGGCTGAGGCAGGAGAATGGCGTAAACCCGGGAGGCGGAGCTTGCAGTGAGCTGAGATCCGGCCACTGCACTCCAGCCCCGGCGACAGAGACAGACTCCATCTCAAAAAAAAAAAAAAAAAAAGAAAAGAAAAGAAAAAGAAATCTCAGCCTAGCCACACGGAAGCTGTGTGATCTTGGACAGGCTGCATACCCTTTCTGAGCCTCAGTTTGCTCACCTGTAACGCAAAGGTAACAAAATCTCCTTGATAGAGACATAGTGAGGAATCAAGAGAACAATGGGCCTGGAGCACATACCCAGTGCTTGGCCCCCAGTAGGCCTTCATTCTCATCGTTACTGATACCTGAGGTCACTGAGCATGTACCACTGTCCATTCGTTATCTTGCATAACTCTCGAAATTATCCTGCAGGGTAATATTTCATCTGCATGAAACAGACAGAGAAACTGAGGTTACAGAGGTTTCGTGATCTGCTCGAGTCTGCTGGCAGCTAAGTGGATAAGGCCAGATGCAAACTAGGCATTGAGCAAAACAGGCAGGCCACCTGCGCGCATAGAAATGATTCTTATTATCTGAACACAGTCCACACAAATCACCCACCCCTGTCCAGCCCTGCAAGGAAATGTGAAGTGACTGGACTGTATTTGAACCAAGCGGTCCACGTGTTAGCTATACGACTGTGAACAGGGGCTTCAACCCCCTCAGCCTCAGTTTCCTGCCCTGGAAAACGGGGAGAATAATCGCAGCTACCCCAAAGAGTCGCTGCGTAGGTTAAGTCAGTTACGCCGCATAACTGCTTCAGGGCACCTGTGACCCCCAGCTGTTAGGACTGGTGTTCTGTGGCCAGAGGAGGGCAGGCGTCACAGCTGGCCGGTGAACTCACTGCCTGGGCTCTCTCCCTGCAGGGGATGTCTTCATCCTGGTGTTCAGCCTGGATAACCGGGAGTCCTTCGATGAGGTCAAGCGCCTCCAGAAGCAGATCCTGGAGGTCAAGTCCTGCCTGAAGAACAAGACCAAGGAGGCGGCAGAGCTGCCCATGGTCATCTGTGGCAACAAGAACGACCATGGCGAGCTTTGCCGCCAGGTGCCCACCACCGAGGCCGAGCTGCTGGTGTCCGGCGACGAGAACTGCGCCTACTTCGAGGTGTCGGCCAAGAAGAACACCAACGTGGACGAGATGTTCTACGTGCTCTTCAGCATGGCCAAGCTGCCGCACGAGATGAGCCCTGCCCTTCATCGCAAGATCTCCGTGCAGTACGGTGACGCCTTCCACCCCAGGCCCTTCTGCATGCGCCGCGTCAAGGAGATGGACGCCTATGGCATGGTCTCACCCTTCGCCCGCCGCCCCAGCGTCAACAGTGACCTCAAGTACATCAAGGCCAAGGTCCTTCGGGAAGGCCAGGCCCGCGAGAGGGACAAGTGCACCATCCAGTGAGCGAGGGATGCTGGGGCGGGGCTTGGCCAGTGCCTTCAGGGAGGTGGCCCCAGATGCCCGCTGTGCGCATCCCCCCACCGAGGCCCCCGCAGCAGTCTTGTTCACAGACCTTAGGCACAGACGGGAGGCCCCCCGGGCGCTGGCTTCCGCACATTCGTCTGCCTTCTCACAGCTTTCCTGAGTCCCCTTGTCCACAGCTCCTTGGTGGTTTCAGCTCCTCTGTGGGAGAACACATCTCTGCAGCCTCACACCTTCCTCTCCTGGAGTTGGAAGGAATGTTGATCCCAGAGGGGTGAGGATTGCTGCATCATATGGAGCCTCCTGGGACAAGTCTCAGGATGCAAAGGACACGGAAGGCCAGATGAGAAGGGTCTCCTCTCTCCTGGCGTAACACCCAGCTTGGTTTGGGTGGCAGCTGGGAGAACTCTCCCAGCCCTGCAACTCCTACCCTCTGGGTTAGCTGCCTCTGCACCCCCTCCCACCCCCAGCACACACACAAGTTGGCCCCCAGCTGCCCCTGACATTGAGCCAGTGGCGTCTGTGTGTTTGAAGGGGGCGTGGCCACACCTCCTAGACCACGCCCACCCCTAGACCAAGTTCCTCAGCCTCCTCTCCCAGGTCCCTCCGCCCCACAGTTGTGCTTTGTTGTGGTTGCAGCTGTTTTCGTGTCATGTATAGCAGTAGAAATGGAAATCATTGTACTGTAAAAGCCTAGTGACTCCCTTCTTGGCCAGGCCCTCACCCAGTTCAGATCCACGGCCTCCTCTGGGGACGCCTTCCTCCTCTACTCCCAAACAGGGTTTCCATGGCCTGTCTGCAGCTAGACATTGACCTCCGCCATTGAACTCCACGGTTTACAGACAATTGCACAAGCGTGGGGTGGACAGGCCAGGGCTGCTTTTTTTAATGCTCCCATTTCACAGAGGATACCACTGAGATTCGGAGGGGACGTGATCAGCCCCAAGCCACAACCCTGTCCCCTAGCAAGTTCAGGGTACAGCTCCACCTAGAACCAGGCTGTCCTCTACTGTGCTCGTTCCTCAAGCATTTATTAAGCACCTACTGGGTGCTGGGTTCACTGTGTCCTAGGAAACCAAGAGGGTCCCCAGCCCTGGCCCCTGCTGCCCCACCACCTTCTGCACACACAGCGGTGGGGAGGCAGGGAAGAGCAGCTGGGACCCAGAACTGAGCCTGGGAGGGGTCCAACAGAAAAGCTCAGGGCAGGTCTTCTCCTTGTGCCCGGGATTGGGCTATGCTGGGTCCAACCATGTACTCAGGCATGGTGGGTTTGAACCCATAAACCAAAGGCCCTTGTCATCAGCTCTTAACAAGTATATTTTGTATTTTAATCTCTCTAAACATATGGAAGTTTTCGGGCCCTAAGGAACCTTAGTGATCATATAATGGGTCTTTCTGAGGTCCAGAGAGGGTTAGTAACTTCCCCCAGGTCACACAGCAAGTCTGTGGGTGGCAGAAGCAAGCTAGTGCTGGGCATTCAGTACCTACCACGATGTGCCCCCTCTCTTGATGCTTGGCCCCTGGGGCCTTCAGGGCTTTGGGACATCTTGTCCTCAACCCTCTCCCTAGATCAGTCTGTGAGGGTCCCTGTAGATATTGTGTACCCCATGCCAATGTATATACAAGTACACACAGATGTACACACAGATGTACACATGCTCCGGCCCCAGCTCTGCATACCTGCACCTGCATCTCAGCCTTGGCCCCTGCCTGCGTCTGTGCTGAACGCAGCAGCTCCAACCCCGCCTCTGTCCCCTTCCCCACCCCCTGCCTGAGCCCCCTGAGCAGACCAGGCACCTTGGCTGCACCAGTGTGTGGCCCGCTCTCTCCCAGGCACAGCCCCGCTGCCATGGATCTCCGTGTACACTACCAATAAAAGTGGGTTTGTTACAAAGCTGTGTCCTTGCCCATGTGTATTTTTCGTGTTTCCAAGAGGAGGTGTGCCCCCTCCCCGACCAAAGCTGGCCTTTCCCGCCCAAAATGCACCTGCTGGGTGCCCTGGCCCTGAGGGTCAGCACTGAGTCCACCTTCAAGTTTAAGTGTCAGGGGAGGGGGATAAGACCCTCGGATGGAAGGTGATGCTCTCCTTCAGCTTGGTCCTCCTGGGTCCTCCAGGTTTGTGTACCGAGGTGTCTGTGTCCGCACAGGAGGAGCCCCTGTGGACCATTAGCTCTAGGAGGTTCTCCGTGTCTTAGTTCTTCATGGTTCCTGTACAGCAGCAATTTCGCCTCCAGGGCACAGTTGGCAATCTCTGGAAACCTTTTCCAAGCCTGGGGCTGGGGCTGCTGCTCTCACCTGGTGGGTGGAGGCCAGGAACACCGTTCAGTATCCTCCAGTGCACAGGCTGCCCCTCCACCCCCACCCCACTGAGAATTATCTGGCCTCAAATACCGAGCGTGGGCAGCCTTACTTAGACTCGACCCGGGGGGCCAGGACACGGCCCCCACCTGCGTGTGGTGGATTTGCTGGACCACATTCTGGACGGAGCCCAGTACACACGGGGCTCACAGCATGAGCCCTCCTGTGAAGTGAGACAGGATGTGGGTGAGGATGGCAAGTGGAGGCTGAGGGAGAAGGTCTGGGTCGTGACCAACACCGAACGTGCCCCCGGGACTGAGAGGTTTCCCTGGGCAGAGGGAAAGGAGAAAGTCAGTGAGTGTCCACTGTGTGTTTTACCCAGCGGGTCTCACGCCATCCTATCACCCAGCCCTGAAGGAAGCCCACTCATGTTCACCCCAGCTGAGCATTTAGGTTCAGAGAGCTCCATATTTTGTCCAAGATGGCACAGCTGGTGAAGTGGTAGATCAGGGATTCAACACCAGAGGCTGTCTGATCTCCGTCTGGCTGAAGAAAGAGTTTGCATCCGGGAGGTGGAAACAGTCTGTTCTTTTGATCAGCAAATGCCACCAGCAGGATCAGGGAGCCAGGCCCTAAAGGAGGTTGAGAGACAGTCAGTATAAGGTCCACTGGGAACCACATTGTCCATTGGGAAGCCACAACCTCTGCACAGACATTCACAAAACAAATAGAGCCAGGCAGTGGTGGAGGCAAGACCACGCAAGTCCGTGGTGTGGGGAGCTGGAGAACTCACAGCCTCTGCCTACCTGGGGGCCCCACTCCCAGCCTCTGCATACTTGGGGGCCCTGCTTTCAGCCTCTGCCTACCTTGGGAACCCTGCTTCTAGTCTCTGCCTACCTGGGGGCTCGGCTCCTAACCTCTGCCTACCTGGGGACATATCTCCTAACCTCTGCCTACCTGGGGGCCCCTCTCCCAGCTTCTGATAATCTAGCAGCCCAGCTCCCCTCCAATCCCTTGCCCACACCAGCCACAGAAGGTCAGTGTGGAAGGCATGTCCCTCAGACACTTTCTAGATCCTGGTTCTCATACGCACGAAGCATGGAGGCAAACGCTCCTTTCTGCATCGCAGTCAGCGCTGCACCATAACAAAGGCGCTGGTGCACAAAGCTAGGCTTCCACAGTGTCCCGCTGGAGCCCAGCCCGCCGCTGCCACTCCCTTTCTTTATGTGGGTCTGCAAATAAGTCTCGTCCCCTCCCACACCAACAGCCTCTCGCAGCCCTGATGGTCTCTGCTAGAAGGAATTGATATTCCTATTGCATAACTCACAGCAATTCCAATCATCACCAAACAGAACATGCTCACCCCAGCCCCAGCTCTAGCCCCACTCTTTGTTCCCTGCATCCCATAGTCCTTGCCCTGGAATGGGGTTAACAGTGACGGGCTGCCACAGAGGAGAAAGACACGTGTCTTCTTAGCCCTGGGACAGCGGGTAGGATAAGATTGTAGGAAAATTCCCTTCACGGTGAGACCGTTTAGAGCCAAGCCCAGGATAGCCGGCTAATCCCCCGACCCTAGGAAGAGACCATTAAGATTATGATTTCAAAGAATTCTGTGCTGTGAACTCTAAGTACTTGTTCTGTTCCGCCTCCCTGAACCTGTCACTTACTCGAAAGAAAAACTTCAGTCTGTGTCACGGTTTGGTGGGGGCTGATGGGAGGCCTGCCAGGGCCTCAGCAGTGAAGGCTGCCGGGAATGGGGGAAGGGAAAGGAGCCGACCTTTGCGAAGACCTTACTCTGTGCCAAGCACTGTGCTGAGCTTTTTACCTGCATCCTCTCATTGGATCCTCATGGCAGAGCTAGCTGGAATCCCTTTTTGGATAAGAGGGAATGGAGTTCAGAGAGGTTAAGTCACTTGTCCAAAGTTGCACAGCCAGGAAGGAGCAGAGCTGGATGAGAAACCATGTCTGATTCCAAAGCACATTTTTGTCTCCAGGTCTGTTAAAACTGAGCCAGCTGAGGGGCTGCTCTCTAGCGGGAGAGTCCAGTGAGTTGGGGTGCAGTGTCTGGAAGTGGTTCAGGGAACTCAGAAAATGGGGCGCTCTTCTGCCCACAATAAAAGGCTGAGCTGCTGTCACAAGAGAAGAACCCAACTTATTTTTCATGGTGAAGTCACTCTGCTCCACCTGGTTTCTTCAGCCTTCAGGTTCCTCCATCTCTAGGACCTGATCACCATCTGCATGGTTGAAGCCACTGCAACATTCAGGTTCAGCAGAAGAAATAGGGGAGAAGAGTGTGGAAGAGGTACACGTGCTGTTTTCAGGGTGATGGACTTATCACTTCGCTTTCTAGCAATGGCAAGAGCCCAGCCATGTGACTGTACCTACCTATGAGAAGGCCTGAGAGATGCAGTCCTTTGCTAGGTGGCCCCATGCCCAGCAGTGACTCCACTGTGGAAAAGAGGAGGGATCTGGTTGACCAGTTGGTTATCTCCAAGCAGCCACCCTAATGCAATGGACCAGCCTCGGGACACCACAGGCGGTCTGACTTCAAACAAGCTCCACTTAGCAGATGAAATCAGAAAGCAGCTCTAGGCTCCCAAGGTTGCTTTAAATTGGCTCTGAGCATGCCAGGCGGGGTGGCTCATGCCTGTAATCCCAGCACCCTGGGAGGCTAAGGCAGGCAGATCGAGCCCAGCCTGACCAACATGGAGAAACCTTGTCTCTACTAAAAATACAAAATTAACCAAGCATGGTGGTGCATGCCTGTAATCCCAGCTACTTGGGAGGCTTAAGGCAGGAGAATCGCTTGAACCCGGGAGGTGGAGGTTGCAATGAGCCGAGATCATGCCATCGCACTCTTGCCTGGGCAACAAGAGCAAAACTCCGCCTCAAAAATAAATAAAGAAATAAATAAAAATAAAAATAATTGACTCTGAGCACTTATTCACATCCAACCCCCATCCCCAGATGAAAACTTGGACTATCCCATGATTTTTCCCATCTCTCTTGAAAAACAGAATATACCATAGGCATTTTAACTAATAAGTACAGTCTCAACTAAAATTCCTTGGCCAGTGTGATCATCAAATTTCCAGTCTTCATTCTAAAGAGCTTCCCTCCCTCCCCTAGCGGTGGTCTACTGCACACAAAAAGCTGGAGACTCGGGAAGAGAAGGGTGGACAGTTCACTTTTCTCACTTGCCTTCTCTCTCTTTAGCTACTTCTGGTTCCTCTCTCCTCCATTCTTGGGAGATGGGTTTGGGGGTGGAGGGAGAAGAGGCTGAGAACGGGTGGAGGGAGAAGAGCAGGGAGGTTCTTCCTTGCCTAGTTACTACGGCACTTTGGGAAGATGGCGTCATACTCCAAGTATGGCCAATGGTTAACGATAGCATTAAAATCTCATGGATTATTTTGGAGATTGTTCCCTGCTGTCAGTAGGAACCTGTCATCTGCAGAGGTCTCTATGCAGTTCTATGCATCCCTATCTTCCAGGTGTACCTCTTCCACACTCTCTCCCCCTATCCCTTCGACTGAACCTGAATGTGGCAGTGGCTTCAACCAGGCAGATGGAGACAAGGTCCTAGAGATGGAAGAACCTGAAGACAGAAGAAAACTAGGTTAGTTGCTTAGTCCCTCTGAAGCCCCAAGGAATCTTCTGACACCTTTTGATTCTCTGTGCAGAGGCTTTTTGCCTCTCTGGGGTGTTCTACTGGACAGGGCCTGAGGCACTGTCATGCCTGCTTCCTGTTGTGGTCAGTCCACATTTGGTGCATATGAAACTCACACCCTCTACTCCAATCAACTCTAGAAGTGTAAGTTGTTCTGAGTTTACTGGGATCTTTAGCATCTAACCCAGTCAGTCTGTCACACGTGAGATTTATCAAGCAGAGGACAGTGGCCCACAGAGCCACTCCGCTCAGGGAAACATGTCTAGCTCTTTAGGGCTGAGCTAAGGGCAGTCCCTTTCACAGCATACTATAGTGTGCAACAGCGATTCTCTTTCGCAGGAAGTCTTCTTCCTGCTGACTATTGTATATCTTTGACAAACGTGAGAAGTACAAGAGTCAAGGAGCCGGTTCTTGGCCAAATGCTTTGAAAATTTTGCTCTTGGTTTGACACCTTACTTTGGAATCTGAGGTCAACCTTCTTAAAGTGTCAGCCAAAATGAAGAGGCCATGGTCATCCACCAGATAAAGGGGTCTGGGGGATGCCACCCACAGAGGGACCCCTACCTCATCTAGGAAGAGGAACACTGAGCAGGAAAGTGAGTTAGAGAGTTCAGGATTGAACCTACCCAGGTATTCTAGGTGCACACCTAAATGTGCCCCTCAATAAGAGAGGCAGAACATTTGACTTGTTCATAACATAGACTCTGGTCTGAGGCTGCCTGAGTTCAAATCTCAGATCTGCCATTTGCTCATCTGCTAAAAGGCAAATGACTTTTTGTATTGGTCAGCTATTGCTGCAATAGTGCCGTGTAACAAACCATCCCAAAATTCAGTAGTTCTCAAAAACAAGCATTTCTTCTTAGGTTTATATGTCCCTAGGTCAATTGCAGTTTGAGTGGACTAGGCTGAATATAACCTCAGTACTGATCTTGT